GAGAGAGAGAGAATGAGAGAGAGAGGCACAAATTTGTAAAGACGTGCAAGCTGGGAAGGCTAATCGGCCTTTGAAAGCAGCTCCCGGTGACATGATTGATTACCTGAAGGACCGCGTAAGGATGGAGTGCTGAGTGCCTCCTCGCCTGAGTGGCCCCCCGTTGAACAGGACCATTTTCACGTGCGACCATACGTGAGCCGGACGTGCCTTGGCCGCGGCGTATGTAAGCTTTAGCTCTCAGCTGTATTAGCTCTTCCAAGAACTTTCGTGATGTGGTCGGGTGCCTTTCCAACATGTAGCACTTCTGCACAGATGGTACTGTGTTTCGTGCATGCGGTTTGAGCAGTCTTGCCTTGTGGCAGGGACAAGAGCACGTGGAACAGGCCGCTGAGATGTCGATTTGTCATGATTTTGCATGTTTTCTTTAACCGGTTCTAGAGGTTTGGTGGCTTGCATTGACGGCCTCTATCAGGTTCTATTACAGTGAACCGAAGGCTTGTTTACAAGCCTCAGAAATTTAGACCACCTTCCTCTGTCTGCAATCTATATGTACATGTGCACTACTAGCAGCATATAGTGCCCCCTTCAGACAGGCATCTAGGTCTTTTTAGCAGGCTCATGCCAGAAATTCAGGAAAATGCATCAATGTCCCGCGGTCTGCCTTGAGAGGCCCCCAAGCTCCAAAATGCCTTTCTGAATTCCATGTGCTGTTTCTTAGGCAGATATCTCTGCCTGGATCGTTCTGGAGTCTGGATCCTGCATTGACATGGCAGTAATGCCGGCGCGAAGCTCACCCTCTCTCGATGCGCCACCTTGACGATCCGTGTTCAGGCCTAAACTAGACTAGACTAATCATCCTGTTTGGTAGGTATCCCGTGCGACTAGGGTACCTAACAATGGCCTGATCACGGGATTTGGGACACCACCTTCGTAGTAGAGTTAGTTGGCGCATATTGACGGTGAAGAGAATGACCATGATCGTAACATTGGCTTTCATCGGCGTACACATAAGTGCAGGGAAAAAGACAGAAGGATAGTAGTCATAGATACAGCATCGTCATTATACATTGACGGTACAAGAGAAGAGGAAGCATCCTGTTGGGGCATGTGGATAGCACATTCAGCAAGACAAACAAGTTCAGACTCTGCCTCATCTCCGAAAGAGATGAATGAGGATCCCAGCTCCTCTGCAAACCACCAAGGTGCACCTTCAAGCATCTAGAACAGAGTTGGGCTGGTGATCGGCAGATGCTGTCAGTTTCAGGTGCAGACTCTGGTAGCGTCGAGCAGAAAAGATGCGCGTCAGTCCGCGTTCTGCTTTCCAACTTGGGTCCGATGCCAGATGGGTCTAGCCTGAGATTTCCCATCTTTCTTTCTCAGGCACGATCATAAGCATTTACCGCTTGATCTCACAACAAACAACAAACATTCCACAGAACCCCATTACCACCTGATCTCCGGCTTTGTAGCAGACTGAAAGTTGGCCTTAGACTGAATGATGCCAAGTGTGAGTCACGAAGCCACCATAAATGGCCAGCAGAGACTCCTTCTCATGCCATGCGGATGTGCACGTTAGGTGATTGTCAAGCAGCTGCTGGGGTGTAGGGTTTACGTTTAGGGTCTTGATTTGGAAAGGGTTTAGGCGTCTTGGCTGTCAGGTCTGACCTCGCAGCTCTGTGGCGGCAGGCCTTTGGCCCCACACGGGATGTGCCCACCAGGTGGGGAATCAAGTGGGCTTCTCTGACGTCACTCGCGCAGCACTAGTCCTTGAAGCATTTGGCGAGCACACACACACAGACAGACAGATACTACCTACTTACCCACCGACCGACCTGCCTGCCTGCCTACCTGTAGTACTTACTTACCTACCTGCATAATTAATGCACGCACACGTACACACATATACAAACCTACATACATCTGTTCACTTCTACATACACCTATTCACCTGCTCACCTACCTACATATACATACACGTATATACACACATGCGCAGGTGCATACATGCATACATTTGTGCATGACATGAATACAGACAGAGATACACAAAGCAAAACGCACGGACAGGCAGACCGACCGACAGACACAGCGACGGAAATAGCTGCATTATTAACACAAGTAACTTGATTAGTCCATTTGTTGGTTCCTGGGTTATTGTGTAAGTAAGTAAGTAAGTAAGTAAGTAAGTAAGTAAGTAAGTAAGTAAGTAAGTAAGTAAGGAAGTAAGGAAGGAAGTAAG